GATCAATTAAAATTGATTTGCAACTCAACGAGCTTGTGAATCAAAAACAAATGCTTATAGAAACAGTAAACAAAACTTTATTATACTGTCAATGAAATTATAAACATTATCGACGAGGAACAGACTTACTTTAATATTTTGTATTGGCACTACACTGGTAAAAATGTTTTGATGATTTAAGTTTTGAATTTTGAAATAATTAGTAAAGTATGATAACCTTTTTAACAGGCATTTTTACTGTCACAACTTAATTAAAATTCGCAAATATAAAGATGAAAAATTTGACATTATTTGGGTTGTATTTTTCTTTCTGTGCATTAATACTTATACTTAGATCGGCCATCTATCATTTTTTTCAACAGCTCATATCCCAACAATTTTCACGTTTCGCTTGGCGGAGAATTTTACGCGATTTGCGTCTGAAGAAAAGAACTGTCTAAACTTTTTCTCGGTACAAAGGAAATTTCCCCTATTATTGTTGTATTGCTTTTCTTTTGGGCGCACATCCAAACATGTGACTTGAAGGCCCACATAGGATGACATCATGGGCAGTGGGCGTTGGTGGGAGGTAGGTGGTGGGGCTGAGTAATGTTTGTCGGGCAGACAGTTGGGCACACACGAACTTGACAAATGAATTATGAAATGCAGGAACGGAAGGGTGTGTATAAATAGTCGCCGAAAAGCTTTTTTTTATTGCCCGCTAAATTCGCTTTGCTTTTTTTTCGAAAATGTCAGAAGCGTTTATTGGCCTCAGGTGATTCGTGACGACTGAGAGACGAAAGTAAGAGTGATTGGGTTCGCAAGGGGTCAAGATGGAGGACAGTGGAAAACGCATTTTTAAGGACATTCTTTCACAAGATTTAATGATTTTGTTGTTATGGAAGGTCTCAGAAAAACGAAAGCAGATCACGCTTTAGCAATTAATGGTAATTGACTATATATCCAAGTGCGCTCCCGCAATTCTGGGTCGTGTGTATATTTCTAAAACCTATGAGAAACGTTAATTTGACTCAAATTTAACTTATCAAAGTACACCAAAAAAACAATGGGCATATTTATATTACATATATGATGTCAGTTTTAAGCTGATATAAACAACATTAACGCAAAGACTATAAAAAGTTAAATTACAGATTCTGCAGTACTCACTATGAAGCATGTTAAATTATTTGGGTTTATTAATTTTTAAAAAATCAAAAATCTAGTTTAGAAAATTGTTTTAGATCAAATAATTAGCTGCCCCCTTTAACAAACAGATACGAAGTAATGTTTGTGTTTTACAGTTGAGTATTAAGCAACACTTGATAAAAGAAGAACTTTATAATGCACTTTTCAAGCTTAAAAAATACTTTAATCTACACGTGACTTTTAAAGTTGGATACCATCATGTTAAAGAATACTTTTTAGATAGCCTAAAGATTTTAAAGTACTAATTATATGTACTTGCACACCACTCTCTCTCTCTTGTTGTGACGTTAGCAGTGTGAAAGTCGCATCTGAATTGCGTACTTTTGTATTTGTTGTTGCATTTGGCGCCTGTGGCTCGCCTGTATTATTTATGCATGTGCTCATTGTTTTGCCCGACAGTCATTATTTTATTGTTGAATTTGTGCGGGCGATAAGGGGCTCTCCATTTCACTATCTGCCAAAGAGGGGGACGGCAAATCGCAAGCATAAATCACTTTTCCACAATTATTCCGTCTGACGCCACGCTGATAAGTGGGAGTTTAACATTAAATTAGGGCGAAAATTTAAATTTTACATAATGCATTTTGCCGGCTTCTACTTAACCGTTAGTTCAAGAGAACAAAAAGGAAGAAGAAGAATGACCGGCAAAGTGTTAACGGTATATATGACAAGCCACCCCCTTAAGTGGGAATGAGAACGAGCGACATTGGGGGTGTGTATTGGGGTCTTTCTCTCCTCTACATGTGAGCAGATTTTATTTTTACAACGCCCGTATTTTGCTATATCTTTAAAATTTATATATTTCACTTACTTTGCCGCCTTTGTCTTTGCGTCGCAAGAATCCCCTCTCACTTTCGATCGTATTTAGTTGCTAAAATTAAGCCAAGGCACTAAAGACACTCACACATACATACGCGAATGGACGTCACCAGGGCAAAAACAAATACAGGCAAAACAGCTGGCGGCAGCAGCAACAACAACTAGAGAGCGACTCATCCAATAAGAAAATATTTTATTTGATTTATGCAAACGAGCAGCGAATTTTTTTATTATTTATAATACCACAGCCTAAGCGTACTCGTTCCACTCAAAAACTGAACAATTTATGCAATTATTCGCCTTTTTTGCAATTGCATTGCATTTCCCGCGACTACAGGGATATCCTTTTTTGCAATACTCGATCAATTGTGCCTCTATCGTTTTCTGTTTTACAATCAAACACATAAATTATTTTATTTTCCGCACTTCGCGTTCCGTCGCGTTAAATTTATTGTATAATAACCATGGCGAATACTCGATTTATGCATTTTAAAAACATTCCGAAAATTTCGACCATCTGCAACGGCAACGACAATAAACCAGAGTTGCCAGGGTCTTTAAAATGCCTCTATCGATTGTTTACGTCCAATTAGAGAAACATATCGATACTAGCAGGAATTTGTACTCGTTTTGTTCGTTTATATTCCGTTATTAACGAATTCATAACAAATGCTAATTGGAAACGACAAGGATATATAATTAGTTAGAAATAACTAAGTTTCGTAGCAATTTCCTTTTGAATGGGAATATCTTTTAAATTCATGAAGGGGGCAACTCTAAGTGGGCGCTAAATATTTAAAAATTACATAAAAGAGAACCAAACTTTTTATACAAATTTAATAAATACATTAGTTGCCTTTACAAGGTAAAAACTTTCTAGAGGTTATTTTTAATAATTGTAATTTAAGACTCTAACAAATTGTAGCAGTATATGATTGAATGATCCTGTAGTAAGAAACCCTGCGGTCCGAAGTAAACTTTTGCACAATATTTGTTCCTTTTTTTAAAGGTAGGTTTCAATAATTTAGTTAACTTAAATCGACTGTAAATGGTTTGCAGATCAAAATCGAATGATGTGTTCGCTATAGCTAAAACCCTTTGTACGATTAGCAGTTCCGGGAAGTGGGGACACATTGGCGCAGCCTGGGGCGAAAGCGTTGTCTTCTCTAAATGTGTGTGTATGTACATTATGCTACGCAATCATCTAGTAAATTCTACGAAAGCATTTTCTTTTTCTCCTCTGAAAGCTTTCCCTCGACGGGTGGCTTTTTGGTCGCCGGCACTGGCGCCTTCTTGCCATAAAGCATGTCCACAAATAAAGCGGCGAAGACGAGTACAGCTCCAAGCCACTGGCGGGCGATCAGGACGTTTCCAAACAGCAGCACAGAACACAGGACGGTGAAGAACTTGCGCGTGGTGGTGACCACGGAGCAGGCCAGTGGCCCAAAGTTGGCCACCATTAGAAAAATGAAGAACTGACCAAGGACGCCACACACAGCGATCAGCGACAAATGGGTCCAGGACTCAGGATGGCGTATTGTGAAGTACAGGAACTCCTTAGCCTCACCTGTCGAAAGGAAAGCCGTGTAACCATTCAAGTGTCAGACTAACAAGTACTCACCTGTGAAAACCATGGCTACGCCCAGCATTATAGTGCTCCAGAAGTTCATGGCCCTCATCATCTGCTGACCAGATGGCGCACTAGCCGCTCGGATGCGCTCCTGCACTGCCCCAGTCAAGCCATCCATGGCGAGGCTCAGGAAGAGTAGTACCTCCCCCAAGAGCGTAGTCTCAGCCGGTAAATTGGATACCTTGCCCTCCTTGTACATAAACAGTATAACGCCCAGGACAATGGTCAGTACACAGGCATAGCGCGTCCAACTGTAGGACTTGCGGCCAATCAGCACTCCCAGGATCATGACAGGAATGGGCTTGGCTGACTTTCCCACCACAGCAGTGGGATAGGGAACCCAGCGCATGGCCATATTGGTGGAAACCATGGCTAGCAGATAGGTTAGTGAACTTGCCACGTAGGAACCCACGTTTGTGGTGTCCTCCTTCTGAGGACGCACCGTTAGGAGCACTAGAAGACCAAAGATTAGTAACTATTCGCCGGAAAACCCAGTAATTCCTTACCCTTGGCAAACACATAGTTGCAGAGGCACTGCACCCAAACTAGGGCCAATGCGTAGGTGAAGCGTTCGCCCACAGATCCATCCGGCTGGACCTCTTCGCCATAGCGACCCCGGGTCAACTTCTCTTGGACAATCCCGTACAGGAAGTAGCAGACGAATATGCCCACGGCAAAGATCAGAAAGCGGCTGCGTTCCGGCAGGTTCATGGCGGGCAGATGACGGTTTTTAGGAGCAAGCGTTTGCGATTCGGTTGGGTCGGGACTCAATGCACGATCTTAAACGGTTGGCATTCTCCGGCGGCGGCTGCAGGTGCCGTGATTTGGCGACTATCAAATACTCAAATCAAATACGTGGTCAGTGTTGCCGATTTAGCTGTGCTGTAGCCAGATTGGGCTTGGGAACGATGGCTTTATTTTTCGTGGTACATTTCTTTCTTGGTCCCAAAATTTAAAATGTAATGTCATTCTAAAATCCAAAATCTTATTCCGAAAAAGAGGCTTACTCTACCTTTTTTTAAGCCAAACTTTCTAAAAAACGGATATTAATAGCTGATTTTAACATTTGGTCTTTTTTAAAAGTTATAGTTGACAACACTGTTAGTGGTAAATGGCAGTGAACGCTTAACAGTGTGACCATAAGTCATTTAGCTTATATCGACAAATTGAACTAGGAAGTTACGTTTCTTTCTAAAGCGCAAAAATTTTAATTCCATTGCCAGAACCTTTTTTGATAATATTTAGCCCCCTAAATTCCTTTAGTTATTAAAATAACTTTTAGATATCTCCCCTAATATTAAATTAATGATGCCAGCAGAACAGTAATGAATTTTTCCTTTTTACAAAATGTATATCTATTGTATCAGAAATTTAATTTCGTTTATTTGGTTTGAAAATATAATTGCAAAATACAATAAACTATAGTCCCACATATACGAGGGTATATATGATCCTCTCTTTGTTATACTGGTAATGCACTTGAAGTTCTCGGTTTAAGTGAGTGCAACCCGCACTCATAGAAAATACGCCCCCATGCATAATACTATCCATCCATTCGACCTAAGCGCCTAGACAACAACAAACATGCGATTATCCTCTTAAATAGCAACAGTTAAATGGTAATTGGTAAATGATAAAAAGGCGTGGCGACTAGACCTTAGAAACTATAAAAATGTGAAATAAAAACAAAAACACAATTAAAATGAAAAGTGAAAAGTCAAAAGCTAAAAAGAAATCGAGCGAAGTGCCTACAGAGGAACCTGCATGGGCGGTAGCCAAGTGTAGAAGAGAATGTATGCCGCGCTGGAGACGACGTTCGAAGAGTCCAGAGTCGAGACGACCTGATCGTCAAACTTAAACCACTTTCCGTAGTTGGCGCTCTTGCAGAAGGCGGTGTAGTGGCCGCCCTCCATGGTGCCGTAGTGATTGGAAACGGCGTAGAGCTGATAGGTCTTAGGCGTAACCGCCCGTGATTCCGCCCGGGCAATGTAAGGATTCATATCTAGATTTTCCAGGGGGAAGCGCAGATAGTTTTGCTTCTTCATGTAGGCACCCGAATTGCTGGGGTCTGCATAGAATCTAAAATGGATTCAGAAATTATGGTGAACGCACGTTGGGGTAGATATTTAGCTTCACGTACCGCTTTAGATGCACCACAAGTACTGGCGGCAGCTTCGATATATCAAGCTTCTTGATTGCATCCCTTTTGGTTTTACAACTTGGACAGTTCCAGCCGTGTATGCGCTCCCCACTAAAGTACATGTCCATGCACTGGTTCAGCTGGCACACATTCGAGTTGGGCGGTAGCTCCAGGCTGAGATTCGAGAAGCTCTCGTACGTGGCCGACTCCTTGTGACAGGCCACACACTTGACAGTGCTTTTCATCTGACCATAGAATAAATGCAGAATCATGCTCTCCTTGGCCTTGGTGAACTCCAACCAAGCCTTCTCCGAGGCACTGATCAGCTCGCGCTGACGGGCCACCTGCAGCGTTTGGAGGTCCGAGTGGAGCCAGTCCATCAGGATGGTGAGAAACTCGTGCGAGTCCTGCTGGTCAACGCCGCGAAAGATCTTCTGGTACTGACCCACGACATACTGCAAGGGGAAATGCCTTCGTTAGTAGAGGTTGCAAGAAGAGTTTTTGGAAGTTACATACTCTTAAATCCCGGCTGGCCACACACTTATACTGGCCTTTCCATAGCTCCTTAATAAGTGCAGCAACCTCCTCGATCACCTGGCCATTGGTCTTGTTACTTCTGCTAATATAGTTCTTGTATTTATCCGAGATGCAGTATTCCGTCAACTGAGGCGTGTTGCTGAGACACTGCAAGATGCTGTTCATATAGCACGTGTTGCCCAGGTTCTTGAGACCCGTCAATCCGCGACCCTGAAAATTGCAGAAGAAAAAGTTTTGTAGTACCATTCTGGCGCTTATCATTCCTAAAAGTTACTCGTCGCAGCGGAAAAATGGAGCTATAAATGCTATATGTAGGTGGAGCTGCTGGCAGCTGGAGCTTCACCCCCGCAACACAAATCATTCGCGGAATCCTGTCTGCTGCTGTTTTTGCTCAACAGTATGGCGAGTTTACGTTTATTTGTTTTGAACATTCTTTGAGTGCGGACGGCGAGCGACTGAGAGTGGGAATACCCACAAAGCAACGGCAATCGTCTGGGCGGGCGTCTTTAAAACGTGACCCATTGGTTATTGATTCGGCTCGTGGGGTGGCTATATTTAGGCGGCCGGTGTGAGTCAACCTCCCCCAAACCATTACTCACCACATTCTGACCCATTACGGGCGAGAAATCCCGGACCCGTTGCGATGTTCTCTCCACACTCCTTGGCTGCGGTTTCATCGCCCTATCGAATGTGGGCTTATCCACCTTGTTGTCGGCAAGCGGTGGATCCTCGGTGGTCAGGTGGAGAAGAGATTCCAGGCTGTCGGAAAGATCCTGTGTGTTCTCCAAATCTCTGCTTGGCGATGGAGGACTCGGAGTTTGGGGTGATTTGTAATGCTTTTTCGTCTCGCGGGCGATCTCCAGCAACCGCTCGCGCTCCTTGCGCTCCAGCTCGTGCTGTTCATCCAACCGTTGACGCTCCCGGATCTTGGATTCGATGTTCCTTGTGGCCTCAACTTCATTTTGCGTAAGTTGCTGCGAAGCATTCTGCTGCTCCTGTATGCGACTTAGCTCTTCTCGCAATCGATTGTTTTCAACTATCTGCAGGACAATCAACCATTAATTTTTGGGAAATAAAGTAGTTTGGGGATCTTACATAGTCCTGTGCCTTGCTTTCCAGCTGCAGGATTCTAAAGTGTAATTCCTGCCCTTCGGATGCATTCAAGGCATCGCCCTCGGCCGCCTGCCGCTTCCACATCTGGGAGGCCTTCTCCAGCTGCTGATCATTCTGCTCCGCCCGCTGCAGAAACTCCGCCTGATCACGCATGATCTCGGCTATGGGCTTGGCCTGTGAAGGAGGCCTGGCCACTCCTCGATCGTAGGTGCGCGAAGCCGCCGGCTTGTTGGCCCGATTGATGTCCGGTCGTGGCTTGAAGTCCTTCGCACTGATGTCCTCCTTCATGGTGATGTCGTTGATTGAGGGATACTCGATGTCATCAATAGTATCGATGTCATTGTTGTTCTGCTGAGGCGCTTGCACACTGGGGTTGGTGCAGTGGGTGGGGTACATCATGATGAAGTACTCGTAGCCTCCCTCAACGATCTGAATGGGGGCGCGGTACGTCACATCCGGGTCCCACTGCACGGAAAGACAATTATTTATTATTTCTTGTTCCGATTTCACTATATTTACATTCTTCAGGATGTCCAGTAGTGTGGCAATGGCGGAATTCGCCGCCGGTTGTGCATCCTTGGTGTTCCAATCGATAAGAACCACAGAGTCCTTGACGGAACGCGAAGCCCACGATGCCTTGCCACTGCTGCTGAGTCGAGCCTGCAGTCTGCCAGCCGACATCCTAAAAAATATTTATATTATATTAAGGAAATGGAAACATACAGAGATCTAAGTGGGGAACCACTCACCCCAGTGTTATAAGCTCCTCGGGCACATTGAATGAACAGTAGTAGGTGAGGTGGGAAGCCTCGTAATCGGCGCTTGACCGACAGTCCATGACCAGGACCGATTTCGCCTGCATGCGCTGGAACAGCTCCTGGCAGGTGATCAGCCCCATTCGGGCATAGTCCGTGGGCTGTGGAGCCGGCGCCTCTACGCTTCCTCGACCATTGCTCACCTGATCGGAAGCAATTTGTTCTGCCGGCTGGTATTGCTGAGCATAACGCTGCCGCAGGGAGTTGATAATCACCTCCAGTGTGTCCATAATGCGCCGATTCGACTCGGTGTCGCCCAACATTTGGCGCACCGTCGACTTGTGGCTGGCGTAATCGGACTTTTTGTGAATTGCGGTCAGCATGTTGAAGTACTTCATGTAGGTGATGTAGGCCAGTTCCTCGTCGCCATCCAGTCTGTATTCCTCGGCCGTCATGTACAGCTTGCGGGCGGTGTTCAGCAGGCTGCGAAAACAAGCCATTTAAATTAAATCAGCCGCATCAGCACAAAAACGGTGTCCACTTACATTTTCATGCCCTTGTTGCGCAGATCCGGAATGATGGACAACTTCTCCAGCTCTTCCAGATTAGAGCTCATGTGAAGCTTCTTCAACTTGGCCATTGTTTTCGTTTTTTGTGTTATGTGGGTCTAGGGGCTTGGGAAATCTCTGGTTTTCCTGTTTTCATAGCAGAAATTTCTCAATCTGCGGGCTGGACTGCAACAACAAAAATCACTTGTTATTGGCAGAAAAAAACTCAAAACGATGAGAAAGCCTATCGATTTGTTCTGTCAGAAAAACCAGCTGATCTAGATGGAAAAAAAAATAGCTAGATTTTGAGGAGTGGAGCAGGACTGCGTGATTTAAGGAAAACATTAAACTAAGAAGATTTAAAATATATATATTTTAAAACGGAAACATAAAGAATTTAAACTAAAATGCTGTATCTATTAATTTATGTTTTTATCTAACCAGCTTAAATACCTGCACCTTTAGTTACTATAGATACTACAACTATTTGTTAAAAAAATAAAATATAACTTTCTAAACTTGTCGTATTCTAAAGATTTAATTTTTGTATGTTTAATCACCAATGTTGACAGAAAACAAACTGAATCCACAACATATTTTTTCGATGTTCAAGCCCCGCTAAAATTGGCGGGAAACTAGCTGAATCGACAACATTTTAACTCATCTATTGGGAATAGATTTGTTATTTCCCAGCTGATAACGATAGCGTTAACAGTTTGTTGACTAGTTGTAAAATAAGAGTTTTAAATGGGAAGGACTTCGAAGGATAAACGAGACATCTTCTACAGACTGGCCAAGGAGCAGGGCTGGCGGGCGCGAAGTGCTTTCAAACTGCTCCAGGCAGAGGAGACGTTCCACTTGTTGAGCGGTGAGGTGCGGTTCCAGCCTCGTGTTTCCCGCCCTAATCCTAACTATCCACTAATTACAGGTCTCACCCGTGCCGTTGACCTGTGTGCCGCTCCTGGTAGCTGGTCCCAGGTGCTGGCCAAGCACATGTATGAGCCACTGCCGCCAGAGGAGCGGGATAAAGTGAAAATCATTGCAGTAGACCTGCAGGGAATGGCTCCCATTGAAGGCGTCACACAACTCCGGGCGGACATCAGCAAGGAGTCGACAGCGGAGGCTATCATTGAGTTCTTCGGCGGCGAGAAGGCACAAATTGTGGTCAGCGATGGAGCACCCGATTCCACGGGCATGCACGACTTTGACGCCTACGTTCAGGGCGAGCTGCTCCTCTCCGCTCTGAGCATCTCTACCTTTATCCTGGAGACGGGGGGCACTTTTGTGTCCAAGATTTACCGGGCGGACAGGACCAGCCGGCTGTACACTCAGCTCAAGCGCTTCTTCAAGGACGTGTGTGTGTTCAAGCCATCCGCCTCGCGAAACTCTAGCATTGAGGCATTTGTAGTGGCCCGTCAGTTTTGCCTGCCCGAGGGCCACAAGCTCTGCAACCTAACCAACGAATGGCACGATCATCCCGAGACGTGGGTGTGCAGGAAGAAAGAGAACCCGCCCGTTGTTCACGTACCCTTTGTCGCTTACAAAGGTGATCTGGACTCGGATCGCACATACGACCTGGTAGAGTTCTTATATATATTCATCCCTTGAAATTCCATTAAACTCTGGTCTTTCAGGGCGAGGACTATGTTTACAAGGATCCAGTGCAACAACCATTGACTGCCGCTTATCAGGATATTCTGAAGAAAACCAGTCAAATCAATATTAAATATGAAGGCATCCGAGTTATACATGACGAGGAATTGCTTAAGGAATGGTATGCGGCAGGAGAAGGCCTGAATTCTTCTAATGACAATGATATTGGTTCTAAGAATCCAGAAACTAAGAAAGTTGAAACTAAGTAAAGAAAGTAAGGATAAGGGAACTGACTGTTGAGAATAAAAACATCAACTTATCAAAATGTTGCGCATAAGGGCACATCGTTGGTTTGTATCATTACTTTAATAACAAACTGCTTTTTTTTTTAATAAGTAACTTAGGGTAAAGTATTTGAACTCAGCATGTGCATTTAAAGTGTTGTTTTTACAGCGTCATTATCTTGTCCAACTGGAGCTTTTCATCATTGGCAGCTGCTTTTTTGCGCTTCCTTGCTCTAATTTTTTGCCCGGTTTTACATCGGCGTCGGAAATCTTCAGTTTGAGCATCTGTATACTTCTTGAACTGCCGCCTCGCTGGAACTCTTCTTGTGGGCTGTGTTTTGGGAATCGCCACCTTACGTCGATGAACAGCCCTTCCGTCGGCCTTTGCTGGAAATGCGCAGGGCAGCAGCTGGAGTTCCGTGTGCAGGCGACCACAGAGCGTGGGCGAGATGGGAAGGTAACTGCTTTGGGTAAGGAAGATTTGGTCACTGGGAGAGGTTTCTGTGAGCAGCTGGTGCAGCTGAAAGCTCTGGGCCGTGGCCTCCTTGGTAGCATTGCACAGCAGGAACTTGTCTTTGTACTTGGGTGAGTAGCGAAGCAGGTATTTCCCAATGGGTACAGTGTCTAACAGCTTCAGGAACTCGCACAGATTGGACAGTAGCTGCGGCATGCTCGTGTTGTAGTAATCGTGCAGCTGCTGCTCTAGCGAGATAAGCGTCAGTTTCTCCTCCAGCATGGGCTCAAAGTCCCGCAGGGAGATGCGGGTGCAGTGGCCCAACTCCGCCCGCAGCAGCTTTAGCTGCAGCCAGGCACTGATTAACTCGTACTTGGACATAATTTCGCAGCCACAATCGGGCTTGTTCTCCAGCTTAATAAAGTGGCATCCAATTGGCACCTTGTCCTTGCAATCTCTAACCGCTGAAATGGGTAACGTGCTGAAGATCTGAAAGTCCTTGTGCTCTACACCTTCGCCCTTGCACCTCAGACTCCAACTAACTAAGGCGGCGTTGGTGCTGCCATCTACAATGTCAGAAGATTGCTGATCAATTGGTTGGGGTTTGTAGGCCATGTGAAGATCGATAGATGACATTTCAGGGTTAGACTTATCTGGGACCTCTTTGACTGCTCCATTTGGTTCGAATTCCAGCCACTTTGCTTCTCCAGGCTGGGATGCGTATGCCTCGTAAGCCCGTTTTAGGACCAAACTGTTTGTATGCCAGCCACAATTGCGGGCAGGAAACGGAGCCTGGAATTCCATACATTTGTGTTTACTCTTTGGGCATTCTCTTAGGCTGACAAACATTTCTGTGGGTAGGTCAATATATGATCCGGTGGTTAACAGCATTAGCAGTGAGTCCAAGGGCAGCACGAAGATATTGCCAGCTTCCAGTTCCAAATCCTTCTCTTCATCCCGCAGAAGCTTAGCTTGCTCCTTAGTTTCCCTTACCGCATAACGATCCAAGCGCACTCGTAAAGAGCGCAGTGCTTCCTGGCGGAGTTCCACCTGGGGCCAGAGTCTCACTCGGCCCAAAATCCGCTCCAGTTCCACATTTTCCATGCTAGCGGTCTGGGAATTGAGGCTCTTGCACTGGGACAACTGTGGGAGTCCGGAGAAGGTTACATAGGACTCGTTGGGATATGCTTCTAGCAGTTTCTTAACGTTCAGCTCATACCACTTCCTGTAGACCGCCACCAGGCTCTTCATGGGGGCATAGATGACTTCCTTGCGTCCTTGCTCGTGGTCGTGGATGTGTTTCTGGACACGCTGTTGCTCGTTGCAGCGTTTCTTTTCCGTGGTCTGCCACACCACGAAGTCCTCCTCATCGACGGGCTCACTTCGCTGCCAGGACAGGAGCACTCGCATGCAGGCGGCCTGTTGCTTGAGATTCAACTCCGAGTGCAGCTCCAGGGGATTGGGAAAACTGTAGCCGGATCCGGGGCTGGAGTGGTCGCAATGCGGTTTCCCCGGTACCTCCTCGGTGCGAGGATCCCTCAAGGCTGTGTTGCGGTTAAAGGACATAAAGACATCGGCGGTTTCTCGGAGCTCCAGTCGCAGTACCTCGGGGTCCACCTCGTTCAGAAATGAGTAGAGCGCATCGTCCACATGCTCGAAGGATTTGTTGAAGACTTTATACGACGGTTGGTTACGAAATATGCCATTTCCTGCATACAAAGGAGGGTCCTTGTCCATATCGGATTGGGAAACTCCTTTTCCTTAATATTTCTGAAAGTTTGCGGAATTGTATTTCATTTAAAAAGTGGTGTTTTTGATTTAAAGCGTGTAAGTACGACCGTAACACGTTGCTCCAAAAATACCTTTTGTTTTGGTTCTTGAAAAGGAGATCACGGGCATATTAAAAAATAATTAGGGGACTCAATTAATAGGATATATGTACAATTTGAAGCGATTTGGAAATACCCTAAAAGGTCGCATCCAAAAATCTAATTTAACAACATTTCGTGTTTTTCTAAAGTTTAAGAATTGGGAAAAACACAAAAATCAAAAAAAGAAAATGTCCATTTTAATTATTTTTAATGTAAATATTTGTATGCAGCCTATTAATTTAAGTTTGTTTTGTGCTCATTCTATGCTCCCTATTCAAATAAAACTGAGACTATTAATGATGTTTAAGGAACATTAACTTTGAAATTGAAGCTAATTATTTTGTGGCCTTAAAACTCATGCCCGATTCGTTTTGACAGTCAGTTAAATATTCAATTTTGAACAATTAATATGTTCTTACCCAATAATCTGCTTTTAATTCTGGTGGTTTTTGGCTCCAGTGTCAAATCCTTTAATTACACCAACTGTGACCAGGCGAAGCAACCGAAATTCGTAAGCGATTTGTAAATAAAATCGAACTATTACTTCATTTATCCAACATTCGTCAGATGAGCTCCTGCTGTGATGTCCAAAAAAATGATAGGGCAATCAAAGCCTGTCGAAAGTCCTTGCTGACCAACAACTCAACCACCACAAATAATGGGGAAACGCGAAATCTTAAAACGGATAAAGTAGCCCTGCATGCAGTTAGTTGGTTTTTAATCTACAATCAAATATTTAATCTTCAAATCAATACAGTCTTGTAGAAAAATTGTATTGAACAATATTTATTCGAAATGTTCATCTTTCCAGTGCATTGCGGAGTGTTCCTTTAAGACCAATGGCTTTTTGCTAACCAATGGAAGCGTCAACGTAGAAGAATTAAAGAAAAGCTACCAGCAACGCTACAAAAACGATCAAACCATGACACAACTGATGGTGAGGAGCCTAAGTAGCTGTACGGATTACGGTGGGTTTTGAAAAAATAGCAAAACATTTTAATAATATATAAAGTAAAACAGCGCAGAAGAAGGCTCAGCAATTTCAATGGTTGCACACAAAGGGTGAATGCAACTACTATCCTGCCACCTTGTTGGCCTGCATTATGGAGCAGGTATACGTCAACTGCCCGAGCACCAAATGGAAGAACACCAACGATTGCACAGCGATGCGGAAATATTTGATTGCCTGTGATGACGTCGAGGGCAACCGGAAATAATGTCAAATTGTGAGCATCCAAATATAAAGCTGGACCAGCGTAAAAGCTTAGCGTTTTTTTTATTTATTCTCCGCACACTTGAAAAGACAGTTTGGCTAGTTCCGCCATTCCGCATTCGATCACATCTCCAGACTTGAATGCATCCGAGCCATTTGGAGTTCCGGTGAGGATCAGATCATTGGGCTCCAATGTCATGTACTTGGACACGTATGAAATGATATCTGGAACCTTAAATATCAAGTCCGCGGTGCAGCCCTTTTGCTTCACGACTCCATTGACGGTGAGCCAAAGCGGCAGGTTGTGTGGATCCTTGACTTGGTCGAAGGGTATGAAGTTGGAGACGGGCGTGGAGGTGTCGAACCCTTTGCCCAGGGTCCACGGATGACCAGCCGCGCGAGCTGCCCCCTGAAAGAATCGTTATTTATATTGGTTTATAATTGAGAATATTAATTTTCTAACCAAATTGCACTGAGCCGTCAGATCCAAAGCCAGGCAGTAGCCTGCTACATAACTCATTGCGTCTGCCTTTGAGACGTTCTTGCAAGGCTTTCCAATCACCACGCCCAGCTCCACTTCGTAGGCCACCTTAGTGAAGACTTTGGGTATCTGGAAGGCATAGGAAATGTGGAAAGTTTGGAAAGCGAAATGAAAGAAAATCATCTTACATTGTTTTGGCCTTAAATCATCTTACATTGTTTATCTAACTAAATTCTGATACTTGGTCTACAATTTCAAAACTTTAAGCAATCTTTTTAATCTTCAAGATTCTTAAGTGCCAAGATCTTTTGCATTTGCCAATTTATCAGTTTTCTATAACGTACATTGCTCTTGAAAATAATAATACAAGCAAATAAAAATATTTTTATGAGGGACCAAAGGTATAACTTAACTGCCTAAGATAACTTTAAGCTCTCCAGATTCTTGGCTTTTCTAAAACTTACGACTATGGGCTGGCCCTCCTCAAGATACGATGAGGTGGGTTTAAGGAAGACGAGCGGTTCGCTGGGCACCGGTACATTTCTGGCCTTCACAACGTCCCTGCGGCAAAATAGGATGTGGGGTGTTATCCATTTCAGAACCAAGATTACAAGTTATCACTAATTTACATGTAATTTAGAGCCACTCCCACAATCTTTTTGCCTTCGTTCAAGAAGTTGGCGGCACTCTGGTTGCCGCAAGCCATCCTAAGGATTTGGGTTAGTTGAACCACTGCAAATTTTGAATAGAATATGTTTACAAGGCGATGATTCTGGAGGAAATGATTAGAATGGGAATATAGCCCAGCCTGCGGTCAAATGAAAGTGAACGTTTAGGCATTGACAGCCGGACGGCACTTACTTGCGCAATGTTTATTAATTTAGAAGTGGGGGTTATCTGGAGAGGCGCCCCCCGCAGAAAGTTTATCAATTAAATAACAACAGAAAATCAAGAGAGCGATCGTATCGTCAGCTGATGTTTAGGGTTACCAAGACTGACAAAGAGTGTTGGGCAGTTGCAACACTATTTATTGAGTACATTTTAGAATTCTGAAAATAAACCAAATGAATAGCAGTGCATAAATAACAGTCATGACAACTACCTGTTTGAAAATCTAGTGTTGGCAACGGCGTTTTGCAGCACTGGCGCGCCAGTGTGACCGGCTGCCGCCAGACAGATATCGATATAGATAACACACATCTTCAGTCGCTTTGTGGTAAAGTATTTTTGGGCGGAAGCTCGTGAAAAATATAATCTTCCGTGGGAAAAGTTCGTGCGGTGCAGTTGCGCGAACTAAAAAAAACGAACTAAAAACAAGTGCGAGCAGGCAGGAGCAGCAAAAATAATGACTTGCAAATCAGATTCACACAATTGGTGTGGTTCTTCGACGTGTTGAGTTTCCACTTCGCGTTCGCCGTTTTCGCGCATCCCGCCTGTGGTCATACTGACAACGAGACGAGGCAAATTGTAATTTTCTTTTGAGCTAAAAATTATAAGAAATTAAAAACGAAAGGCGATTTGCAAACCGTGTAATCGAAAAGTCAGCGAAAAGCCCTACGTGGTGCGTCAGTGCGAGTGCGACGGAACACATCCAAAAGATAGCGGGAGTCAGAGAGAGAAAAGACGAGCCAGCAAACTCTACAAACACACAATCAACACAATGATGAAAATGGAGACTGACAAAATAATGGACGAAACCAACTCCAATGCACAGGCCGTGAGTTTTTGCCCAGTTACTTAGTTTAAGCGCGATTTCTGTCTAGTTATGTACCCAACATATAAATTCCCAAGTACATAAAGCCCAAGGTGTCGCCTCCACACACACACACGTACGCACACACAGTTGCGCCACCTATATATCACGGTTGTGTGCGTGTAATAGTGCTTTATTTTCGTATATACTACAGATTTTGCACTCGTGCACTCTATTAAATTCGGACACTGTCGCCTAGCCTATAGGCTATAACCTTAAACTTTGGCGGATTCAGAGGCATTAGCCTAATTATTCATCGCCAGCATCATCATCATCATCACATTTTTCACCATCCCCTTGGTCCAAACATCCGTCTCTATATATCCCCCAATTTCCGATTTTTGGTGGTCCAATTACAGATTTCAGATTTCGTTAATTGGCCTCGAGTTTGTTTACACAATTAATAATAAAAACCTCACACAAAGTACACTTTGTTGCGGCCGTGTACATTTCAATCAGTATTTATTTTATTGTACGGCTATAGTTATGGAGTTAAATGTGATAGGCGGCTTACTGAAGGTCAGTTCCCGCAAAACCATTAAGCAATGTGCCGAAAAATTGTTTTTTATTTTTAATTTTTTTGCTCGTCAAGCAATAAAGTTTAGCTTGAGTCATCTGGCTTGATGTTGAGGGAATCAAGGTTGAATCAGATAATCTGCTTCTTGGCTAAAACATTAATATACAGTTAAACTTTCATAATTCAAACCATATTTGACAAAAAAATAATATATGTTTTATGTCCAATAAAACACTTTTAAACTAAAACCATTACTTGCTGTTAAATAAAATTATACACTCAAAACAAAATGACCTACATCTAAGAAGTAATTACAAAAAAAAGTGAGAGAAGCATAATTTTTTGAGGTCAGTTCACTGAGCGTCGCTACAGAATCTTCGAATTACAGATACTTCTTATTACCAACAGAACCTTATAATTTCGACTGTGAAATTTGTAGTCAGAGCAAACTGTGGCATCCTTCATATTAGCTCAAAGTTACCAGGCAAAGGCAAACAACTAAAGCTCACAAAAAACCATATTATGGCAATTAAATTAAGGCAACCGAACCGAATACTTATACACAACACTTACTACACTCGCACATAGTGTTAATACGCAAGGTTTTCGCGTTGCTGGCATTGCAGTTAACTTAATTACTCAAATCACTCACACTCGATAGTCCGCTTTGATTACGTTACTCGAATTTGTTTGCTGAGATCTTTAGCATTTAATTGATGACGTTTAATTAATGGGGTTCGTGGCGATCTCATTGGCCATCAATGGAATTGTCTATATTTAGAATGCGCATAATGAGGATGGAACACCAAATAAACAGCGATACAATTATTATTTATAAACTGTTCCGTGTGAATGATCTGCCTGTGTTGCTAGTCGTCAGGTTTTTTCAGAAATCCGCTCTGCAAACTCTTTCGCCGCCTAATAAAAACAAAACGAGAAAATTTCGAGTAGAAAGAAACTCGTAGCAGAGTCGAGACTAATTGCCTAATTGTAAGCCCCCAGTTTGGGTCGTCACTTGCCTAAAATAAAGAAAAGTTGCACAACCCGCAGTTACCTACTTTTTCAGTTTTCAGTTTTAACGATCGCCCCTTGACATCCAAGCAGCAAACATTGTATCATCGCCCCGACAAACCAAACAAATGCAATCTCATAATTAATTTCCCCATATGTTTCTCCCTCCCATTTTCCCCGTACAGTTCACAACCACTATGCTGTACGACCCGGTGCGCAAGAAAGACTCCTCGCCTACCTACCAAACGGAGCGGGATCTCTGTTTTCAGTACTTCACCCAGTGGAGCGAGTCGGGACAGGTGGACTTTGTGGAGCAGCTGCTGTCGCGCATGTGCCACTATCAGCACGGCCAGATCAATGCCTATCTCAAGCCTATGCTCCAGAGGGACTTCATCACATTGCTGCCAAGTGAGTGCCGATATCTAATACATTTCAGTCTCTGAAATAAGTGAGCAATTCACGCACGGGTCTGGTTCCTTAATAACGTTTTCTGAGAATTTTTAGAATTTTTTTGTTGTTGATGTCAATTGGACTTTAATAGTTTTCCCTTGTAATTATCTAGTAACAACTATCGGGTATTACCACAAATTAGACAGAAACCTTATCAAGAAAAGCATTTAAATTATATCTCTCCTCAATTATGACAATTAAACACAACATGTATTTAGAACTGAGACAAAAATCCGTTCCTGTAAATTATAAATTATTAAATGTTTCCAATTTAATAATACTCATATCAAATTCTCCATAATATATTAAATACTTTAAATTGTCATCAGTCTAGTCAGTAAAGTTTGAAAGTAAGAAGGCATATCAAGTGGATTGAACATACCTAGTGTTTAATTCTATAAATATCATCTAATGCAGATTAAGGGGTGTTATTATTGTTATGTTATTTATTGCATCTTATAATAATAGTTACGTTTCAATAACTAATCTAAGGTGATTACTGAAGATGCAAAAAATTTTTACAGTTGAGTGGAGCTTTTACAGTCTATAAAGAAAAACTCTTAAGGCTTGAATATTACCCATCAAAGAGATAAAGTTTTGAAGTGTGTGTAATTTATTAATACTAAAAATACGTCACTTACGAACACACAGGCGTTATCAACATCGCACGTTGTATGGGAGGTCAGTACTCCCAGATGGTCAAAAAACCAACTGGCAACCGTTGATAAGAAAGCGATAGCAGCCACCAGAGTGAAAATCCCACGCTCGTGCAGTGCCGAACCTTAAGCTTTT